GCCGAGATTCTATTCCACTGAAGCTATGTCATTAAGACAATGGAGCGAAAGCTCGGAGCGCAGTGCGTCTTGACAGGCTTGCCTCACCGAAGGCTGTGACAATTTCTCAGCTGCCAATCGGAGGAGAGGCTTGATGCGCCTCCCGGTAAAGTTCCTGAAAACAGGACAACCTACCAAGCCACGATCAGAGTCAACGCACATGTCCCACAACGAGCGGCAAGCCACGATGGAACCACGCCACCTGAGTTAAGCCAAAGTGGTTTGTTTGGGTCCATCGCTGGCCAGCTACAGGTCGACGGCAAATAGCACTTCGGCGACCACCGTGTATAAAAGCAGTGCTACTAAGAAAGAGATGGTGCTCCGCACAGAGTTGAAGCAGACGCTCACCATTGTAAGTCCGTTCGGAGTTAAGCCCACAATTACCACCTAGCTGAGCTTCTGAAGAGCTCAGACGCATTATTTGTGCGTTCATATCTGAACTAGTAGCACTGCGTAGTAGCGCGTTCAGTTCGTGATAGAATATGTCCATGTGAGCATCAGAAATGCAGTCGGTGGGACCATAAGCGGAAATCACAAACAAACAGCGTTTTATACCACATTTGCATCAGCTACGGTAATCGTGATAAAAAGAACAAAATTCACTTTACTGTAGATCGCGGTCAACATTGAGATTGCGCGTCGAAATCGATCCACAAAATGTGTACTCAAAATAACAATCAACAGCATTTGTATTAATTCGTGAATCAACCTTAGTTGATATCATCAAACGAGATGCACATAAACGCATGGCCACCGGAATGCAATCAATCAACGATGGTTCAGCTTTGGAGCTGAGAATGATACTTACCCCAGCTTGACCCGCAAGTGCTGCATCAGCGTCTCAGGAAGCGGGCAACCAATAGCAAGAGGACAAGTTGGGCCCAGTTAAATCAACGAGCCCATTGAAGACATTGATCCTAGTTTCAAACACACAACATGCGTCAATACCTAGTGTGGGCAAGGTGCGTGTGAGTGCAGCATGTTGACCTATTTGTCTTAGAGTGCGAACGTTGTACGTCGCAGACGTCGCAGATTGGAAAGTTCAAACCGACTTCCATTGTCAACACTATGGGCTTATCCGTCATTGTCATGACGCACAAAAGAACCTATGGACTATTCCCACTGTGATCTAACCACCTGCGGTGACATCACGAACTGTTATTGTAATGACATCATGGCTCAAGTCTCGGGCAACGCGGTTATCGCCCCTGTTCACTATAAAATCCCACACTAATTGCACACTGATTCACCGAAGCTGACGAAGCCCTTGTGTCGAGGGCGAAACGTTACCAAACTACTGTACCAACCGATTGTTTTCAAACCTTTCTGAACTCATGACTACTCCATCGATTCCAAGTATCTTCTAAGAAGATGGTGATTTTGTTTAGTAATTTATACAATATACTCACGCAATCCGGGGGAATCTCCATACTACTACAGCTGAATAGCGATAACGCCTCACCGAAACTTTCGCTGTTATGACAAAACTGAGATCATTCGGCTAGTTCGGGAGTATGTGCTCACCGAACCTTGAATGTTTATTCGTGTGAAATTTACGGAGCAGCAACCGCACTTTCCAGGAGTCGTCCTGAATGCTGAAATCCGTTTTGAACATCTCCCGGCCTTTGAACCACGTATCATAAGTGCTTCCGGAATCAGCACCATAACTGAAATCAGTAAGGAAATTGGAGAGGAGACCAAAGGAACTTGCCTGTGTGTCACGTGAAGCTGTTTCTGAAGACAGCACACTGAGCCGCTGCGGCAAGGTTTCGATCAGCCTCATTTGTGTTTGCTCTTACAGTAGCAGCATTCATTGCATTGCCACTTTTCTCCGTCGCCATTTGTTTTGATCTGCTACTTTATCTGCGATTCCAGTTGAACTGAACTCGTTCTTTGTTAGCTCCGAATCCCAGATGGAAATAAGAAGTGAACCGTTGAAGGCAAAACGTGTTGCAGAAGCAACTACCGAAATGGAAACAAATAGCGTGAAATCGAGGGACATCTATAAGTCAAGCAAGGAAGGTCCACGTGTCAGAACAGGTAGGTCAGCTGTCCGGGTCAGTTCCGCTATCAAATATGAAGGTTGGTGCGCACGTCGTATGTACGAGACTGTTCCTTAAATCACTTCATGTTCCGGTTGTACGCCATTGGCTCAACATTTTCCCATTTAATTAATGAGTTGTCCCGGGAGATTTTACATTTTCGCTATGCTTATATACATATATATATATATATATGTTTTTTAATGTGGACAAAATTCAGTTTGCTGTATTTGGTTTGTTGTGTGCACCTGATAATCTTCTACTACCTTGCACACGTCCCTCAGGCCAATTGCGGTAAACTTGCGTAGCTTTATCACGTGGCATTCCTCAAACAACTTTCGGACATTTTGTGCTTATCCCGGATTCGCTGATAACCAATTTTCTTCATATGCTCATTTGGCGAGTACTTACGTCATCATATCCGTTTACTTTATGCGATGTATTTTATTCGAGATGGTTATTTCGAGTGGCTGGCTGTTATTTGACATCCTCCGTGTGGCTGCGCTTGATTTGTATGTTGACAAGGTGCCTACTTGTCTATTACCCACTAATTCGTCTACACTGGCTCCAGAAGACAGTTAGTCGTTGCTGCAGGGGACGGGGTGCATGATCCACGTGACCGTGTTAGGCGCAAAGAGTGGTTCTGCACACAAGAATTGTGTGCGGTGTGGACTATGGTTCAGCCGACGACTTGTGTGCGTTTGATTCCCCAAATACAGCATCCTTGTGTTTGCCTATGAAGGAGTGTGGTCGGGCTCCGTTGATGAAATGTGGCTCCCATCTACATGCCTCCCGGTCTAGTTCCTTCGGGTTTACACTGGATATGGGGTGTGTGGATGGAGCTGTGGGTGGTGCAGCGCAGGTTGATAACTTACCGTCTCTATAGATAGTTAAGCCTCTGAAATATCAAGTACTTTCCTCAGTGATGTGACCATAAGTGGTGACACAGCTATCAAGGCAAGTGAATCGATCCACCACTTCTAGTGGCTGTTCGCTGAGAGTTGGAGCTGGTGGTGTATCTGCCCAGCCCAACAGCAACACCTTACAGTTTGATGGTGCAAAGCATGTGCAGAAGCGTGCAGCGCTGTGCGTGCTTGCGTAGCCACTGCGTCAAACCCAAGGGGAGAAATATCACACGCATAATCAAGGCTTGTAAGCCGGGCACCTGGCACTGCTTCCATTCCGAGACTGAAAAACGGAATCATTTATGATAAGTTCGATCACAAAGTTGAGGAGGATATATTGGAAAATCCTGGCGAACCCCACTTGTCATGGGGAGCTCAGGAGACAGCATTCCGTAGACGACTACCCGGCCTCGGGTGTCACTGCGCAAAAGCAATCTGACCAGACTGAAATGTCTCAGCATCAGATCGAATTCCGACGATTTTTGCGGCGACAAACCGTGAACTACGACAAAAGTCCGAGGTCTGATCACTGTGAACTGTGAACTGTTACGCCACGAACGTCGTGCGCCATTAGTTTTTGTTAAATGTGTAAGTCCATTCACTGGCAAGCGAACATGGTAGCCACAAATGCATAATGATGCCACAGTCATCTGTGTGGGTTTCGGAGAAACAACAAACTTCAACTGGTTAGCGGCAACAGGTTCCGGATTTGCCTGGCAGTGCATCCTCCAAGGGGAGAGCCACAGGACGACTGTGCCTACAGAAACACCATGTGTGCCTTGAGCTGCACGATCTACAGTTCCACAAACATCAACTAGATAGGTATTAAGAACCAGAGTGAGAGTTATATGCAGATCGTGTAAGACAATAGTTGCGTTTCGCAAGATTCATGTGTATCAAAAAATCATTTATTTCCTTAGAAATGTGGCCGGCAGCGTGGCAAGATTTTGAGTAACTTGAAAAATCGAATTACGCCAGGTAGACGAGAAGGAAGCAATACAAGCTAAGGAGTGCGGCTAAAGATGACATGTGCCTGTCACCGAATTCAAGAAGGAGATAATTAAACCGAAGGATGCTTGTGCCGCGGACCCCATCCGGAGAAACTACCTCTGCTTAAGGAGTGATTTTCGGTAGTGTGTAGAAGAACAGAACTAAATGAAATCTAATTAGGTTGTTTTCATTTATGATGCTCAGACGATTCACTAGACATGCTGACAAAAGGTAGTGTATTGCAGCGGACAGATGTCAGACGCAACACGGCACAGAGCGTGGAGCAGAGCACTGTTCTCCCCCACAAATCAAGTAGGATGGTTAGGGTTAATGAGCCTCAAGAAGTGGGTTTTCAGATCCAGTTAAATAACACCCCAAAAAAAGGGGGCGGTAATTCGTCGTCATACCACGTAGCCAATCTAAACATGCGTGCCACTACAGCCAGCTTTGGAGGTGAGCCGTATCAAATGAAGTGCTGATGGTGTGTCTATAAAGACAGCTCTATTGATACGGAAAAATATTCACGAGTTCGTTGTTCTACAGCTACCTATGAGGATATGGAGCTATTCAAAACGCGTGGAAAGAGAGCCAGGGTAGGTTAGGGACCGCCACTGTGAACTACTAATGGGAGGTGAAAGTCGGAACAGTTTCCACTTTTCAGAGCCACTGCATCAGATTGATAGCATTTCCTGACCAAACACAAACCACAGATACTGCGCTCCAACAACTGTTTACTTGTGCCGTCTTTTAAACACAACTATATCACATAATCTTGAAATTATTGCAAAGACAAGAATTTTGCAATCAATGCTGAACAACTGATCGTACTGCAAAAAGTGGCGGAATAATACAACATACATCGAAAAAACACTTTACGCACAGTTGGCTTAGTTTTCAGGCCGCTGAAAAACCGCTTAAGTTATAGGTGCCATCAAAGAGAAGGGAGAAAGCATTCACACAAAAGCGACCATGTTAGTTGAGTTAGATAGGAGATCAAACAGGAAGGAAAAGATTGTCAACTTACCGGCGGTGCTGCCAGTGGCCTCATGTAGCGGCGCATTAAGCTGATGCACTGCAATAGTACGGAAAATATCCCGGGCATTTTGAGTCAAGGAGGCTGCGACTCGGCGTAGGCTAACGAGAGCAGTACCGCCGCATCCAGCTGCAGCTCCGCCAGAGCTGGCGAGCCCTCCGAGTAGATGTTGCAAAAGTGGGTTGTTCGAGTAGTTAACCTCCACAGTATGGTCCATGAAGCTTGTACAATCTTCCCATATCCAACAAAACCGAGCGAGTTCGTCGTGTGACCACACTATAACCAAAAGAAGGTTATCAAGATGAAAACATGATCACAAGGCAAGCACCAACCGCGAGACCGAACAAATGAGAAAGAAGGGGCAACTTCACAAATTAGCCTGATTTATGCCGCAACTTTCATTATCATGGACAGGTAACACAATGGAGTCACTGTGTGTGGGGATCGTGGAATGCATTCCTTGCAGAGTTAACTGAACAGGTATCAGCGGCTTACATGCGAGATGAATAAACGGTAGCAGACAATCAGCGTCAGCGTTTCGGTTGTAGGTGTTTCGGGCTGGTTACCTGGTTGTCCACGAAATACCATGAGAGTTCATATGATAGCGAGTCAAAGCCAATTTGACTGACAACAAAGTCACCGGTCACATCTCTATAATGAAAGTGATAAAATAAAGGACAGCTGAAGTACTTCAGGGCACATCAGCTTCAGTGTGGACTCGCCAATAGAACACAAGGAAGGTACATGTGATAGCTGGTTTGCAAAGTCACGCGAGTAAAGTGATGGGTTCATTGGTTCAGGAAACGTGTCTTTACCTTCGAGCTGCTATGCTAGCGCTCTCTGAGAGCCCTGGGCAGTTCGACGCAGTTCATAAACTGTTTCAACGAATACCATGGAATTGTGGTACAACTTAACCGGTCAGATATCTTGCATATCAGGTCTTTGCAAGTTAAGGACTACAGTAGGGGGTCTCCTAAGTTAACCTTCTTCGTCGGCTGCGACAAACGGGAATCCCGTGCCCACATAGCAAAGTGGCTAATGCTCCAGCCTTGCGGCACGCGGGGAACGCAATTATCGGCAAAGGGCTGCAGGCCTAATCTGCTATAACACGCTGTGGATTACAAAAGCACAAGTAGCAATTTCGTAACTTTCATCCTTCCTCTCCTACTCCACAGCGTACGTATATTTCCAAATTTCGCCTTCCGTATTCCCTTTGTGCACAAGCACTCGAATAATAAACTATGAACATGACCCGTGTGTACCCGCGTTGCTGTGGTTAACTGAAGCACCGTCCTAGAGAATTGGTACCGCGCACTTCACAGTTGACATGCTGATCGCTGGTGCTTGTCTCACCGCTGACCCGGAGTACAGACTGAATGGGATGTTTTGGATCATGGCCGCGTAACATTCAGGCTACGTCTACAAACCTGATCGTAAGCTAGTTCGATACATTTGAAATTACTGTTATAGAACCACGTGCTCCGATTTCCGGTACATCGTGTTTTGCTCTTTTCGTAAAAAGAATCAGGTAACAGGCGATTCTAAACTTATAGGGTGAAATATTTCACCTAGTAACACGTAAGCATACATGCCGGGCTGCAAAGTTCGGGTAACTTGCACAATAGTGGGCTGCAGTTGACCATCAGAACTGACAGCCGCTGTCACGCATGACCTGGTGGCATAAGCCACTGGTGTCAAAATGATCATGGATCCGGCTCACAGTTGGGCCGCTGAGCATGCGAACCACCGAGGAGTCCCAAAAGGAGGAAAGAGCCCTCCGACTGTTTTCTGGATGTGTGGAACTGTCTGGTTAAGGTTTGACTGTGACGAACCAGCTTTAAGTAAAATCAAAAGCCGACTACACAAAAGTATTTTAAGTGTAGTCAAAACCCCCGAAAATGGTAATCCCAGTGATGCCCATCGCATCCAAATTAATTGCCTCTGTCATCCTTAACAGACTGACTGGTGCTCGTGAAAGCCAGATTCGTGAGGAGCAAGCCGGTTTTCATCGGGGTCGTGGCTGCATCGACCACATCTTCACCTTGCGTCAGTTGTTGGAGCACCGTCACACATTAGCGGCACACCATTGTCGTGTTCCTCGACATCAAAGGTGCCTTCGATTCGGTTGATCAATGTGAAATTTAAGACTGTCTACTCAGGAAAGGTGTGCCCGAGAAATATGTAAATATTATCCAAGCATTATATGCGCGTAGCACGGGCAGAGTGAGGGCTTACGGCAAGCTGTCGCCACCCTTTATTATCTCCAGCGGTGTGAGACAACGACGCCCGATGTCACCTTTCCTCTTCAATTAAGCTAATGACGAAGTGATGGAGACTGCATTTACAGGACACGACTTAGAAGGTATGGAGTTACTCCCAGGAGAACGACTTCTTGACTTAGAGTATGCTGACGACATTGCCCTAATCTGTGACCGACCACAAATGTGCCAAGCGGCACTGGACAGATTAGTACTGGCTGTCAACCACTTCGCGCTTTGCTTCGCGCCCTCGAAGTGCTAAACGTTCCTCCAAGCTTGGCCTGGACCGCCTCCTACGCTGAACCTTGGTGGGGATCAGCTAGAAGTCGTTCAGTAATTCAACTACCTGAGTAGCTGTATCAGCGCCCGTGGGATTTAAGATGAAATCACGAACCATATAGCAAAAGCTCGACGCGGTTTTGTTAGTCTTCGCCACTTATGGTGATGGTGCGACATAACAAACGCTATGAAGGGTAGAGTGTATAATGCAGCGGTAAGTTCAAACGTACTGTACGGTTGCGAAACCTGGCGCCTTATATCAACGGACATAAAGAGGCTGGTTAAGTTCGACCGTCGGTGCCTACGCAGTTTGGCTCACATCTGGTGGGAACACCGAGTAAGCAACGAGCGTGGTCGACGTCTTGCTTAAGGCAAGCGGTAAATGGATGGAAGCCACGTTTCACCAACGGAGCCGGCCCACACTCCTTCACAGGCAAACACAAGCATACCGTATTTGGGGAATCAACGCATACAAGGCGGTTGCTGGACCGTCGTACGCTCCACACTGAGTGCATGGAACCACTCTTTGAGCCTAGCACGGCCACAAGGACGGTGCACCACATCCACTTCAGCAACGACCAACTGTCTAATACAGCCAGTATAGACGACGTAGTGGGTAACAGACAGGTAGTCACCCTGTCAAGATGCACATCAAACACAGCCACACTAGGGCTATCAAGCAATTGAAACGAAAATACCAAATAAAATAAACCGAATAATGCATACAGATATATCGACATAGCTTATTAATAAATAGGCATATGAAACAAATTGGTTGACAAAAAATCCGTTGTCGTCTCAAGACGCCAGAAAATACATTTTAAAAAATGTCGCGATCGCGAAAATGTTATCAAATTGGACTACAATTAACTTGAGCGATGAGTGCAAGTTAATAAAAGATAGTTCACGTAGGCAATCATAAGACAATATAGCAAATCCAACACCTGAAACAAAGAAATTCAGCATGCAAGCACGCGATTAGTCAGTCGAATTCAGCGTACCTACAAACGCTGCGCCGGTTCCGCTTACGTCTTCTGCAGGACCCGTCGTCGCTTCAGGTGTGGCCCCGAGTGGCCTCGCTCATAGCTCACTAGACCTACCTCACTTAGGCACTCGCGACCGTATGTCTACAGCACTATGCACCCAACGTCGATGGAGTACAACCTACCGGCGCCTGCCACTTCCACACAGGCCGAATCTTCTCCGCATGCATAAGGACTTCCGCCTGCACCCCGCCAAGTGCCTACCTGATCAAACCGCGCAACGCACGCCGATCAACCGCCTCCGATTCCCATGACCTGCAATCAAGGTTAGAACGTAAGAGGCTCACTCGGATCATGTCCCGGCAACGAAGCTTCGGTTTCCCCACATGCCGCTTCCCAATACTCACATGACCATATAATAGTTATCTCGGTATCCGCGTCGAACCCATGCCGCTCACATGACCGAGCCACCTCAAGTGTCTCAGCAAAAGTATGCAGTCAACCGCATACATTCCACTTCGGCGCAACACTCCCATGTCCGAAACTCTGTCACACCAACCGATGCGCAGAATCCGACGCAAACATCGTTGATGGAACCGCTCGAGATATCGCACATCCCGACGGTACATCGTCCACCTTTCACTGCCGTATAGAAAAACGGACAACACCATGGATTTGGACACCATCAGCTTCGTGCCAAAGGTAAGCTGATGGTTGCTCCACACTCGGTACCCGAGCTTCCCGAATGCCGCCGCTGCTTTCGACACGCGGATACGAAGCTCACGGTGAAGCTGCAGGTCAGTCGACATCACACTCCCAAGGTAGCTGAAGCAGGAGGTGGTTTCTAATACATCAGCATCAATGATGATTTTCGACAATATTGAAGGTTACAATTCCGGTGAAGACTGAAACAGACAGACAGTTTTGCTAGTGGTGATGGTGAGTCCGAATTTGGCCGCTGTCGAAGTCAGAGCACTAATCATGTGCTGCAACTCATCTGCACCGTGTGCAAACAACGCACAGTCGTCAGCAAACAGCAACATACGGATAGTTGTCTCACAGACGAGAGTTCTCGCACCGAAACGATGGATATTCAGCAACCAACCATCAATACGGTGCTCCACACGGACACCGTAAGCACAAGATATGATTGCACGAAGATAAATATTAAACAGGACAGGAGCTAAGACACGACTTTGCTTCACACCAGAGATAACTGCAAAGTCATCCGAAGTCTGTCCACTCTGCTCCAACCCCGCCCGCATACCACTGTGCAGACATTCAAGTTAACTTACAAACTTACTCGGACAAACAAACTTACCCAACACCAGCCACAATGCCTCGCGGTTCACCGTATCAAATGCACTGGTGAAATCAACAAACAGCGAGTACAATGGCTTTTGTCGTTCATTGCACTTCTACTGCAACTGACGAGCCTCAAACACCAGATCGATGGTGCCGCGATACGAACGGAATCCACATTGCTCCTCCGCCACGTTCGGTCCTACAGCCTGACTGACAAAGCGGTTGAGCAAGATTCGGGCAATCACCTTGCCCACACGACTCAGCAAGTTGATGCCACGATAATTCGTGCAACATTGCTTGCTTCCTTAGCCCTTGTACAGTGGTAGCACAAGGGCATCCTTCAGCTTAGGAAGCACGTCCTCCTCAACCCACACGCGTTGCACCAACTCGTGCAACGCACACATCAACGCGTGTCCGCCGTGTTTCAATACTTCAGGCTGGATCCCGTCGC